GCTGTCTGCTCTCCATTTCATAGGGAAGAGTGCCAGTCAGGAAGCTGTCTGCTCTCCATTTCATAGGGAAGAGTGCCAGTCAGGAAGCTGTCTGCTCTCAATTTCATAGGGAAGAGTGCCAGTCAGGAGGCTGTCTGCTCTCGATTTCATAGGGAAGAGTGCCAGTCAGGAGGCTGTCTGCTCTCGATTTCATAGGGAAGAATGCCAGTCAGGAAGCTGGCTGCTCTCGATTTCATAGGGAAGATTGTCAGTCAGGGAGATGTCTGCACTCAAGCCCATGGGGGAGAGTGTGAGTCAGGGAGCTGTCCCCGCTCAAGTGCACATGGATAGTATCATTCAGAGAGCTGTCCAAACTCAATCTGTAGGAGCTTTCATCAGTGAGAGAGCTGTCTGCACTCACATCCATAGGGGCAATGCCAGCCAGCGAGCTGTCTGCGTACAAGTCCATAGGGATAGTGTCAGTCAGGGAGATGTCTGTACTGAAGTGTATAGAGAATGATGTCAGTCAGGGAGCTATCCACAGTCAAGTGCACAGGGACAGTATCATTCAGGGGACTGTCCAAACTCAATCTATAGTGGATATCGTCAGTGAGAGAGCTGTCTGCACTCACATCCATAGAGATAATGCCAGTCAGAGAGCTGTCTGCGTACAAGTCCATAGGGATAGTGTCAGCCAGCGAACTGTTCCGCACTCAGGTCCATAGGGATAGTGTCAGTGAGGGAGATGTCCGCACTCAGGTCCATAGGGATAGTGTCAGTCAGAGAGATCTCTGCACTCAGGTCCATAGGGATAGTGTCAGTCAGGGAGATGTCCGCACTCAGGTCCATAGGGATAGTGTCAGTCAGAGAGATCTCTGCACTCAGGTCCATAGGGATAGCGTCAGTCAGGGAGCTGTCTGCACTCAGGTCCATAGGGGAGATTGAACAAAGAACAAAGATCAAAGAAAATTACAGCACAGGAACAGGCCCGTCGGCCCATCAAGCCTGCACCGATCCAGATCCTCTATCTAAACCTGTCGCCTATTTTCCAAGGATCTGTTTCCCTCTGCTCCCTGCCCATTCATGATTCTGCCTAGATACATCTTAAATGACGCTATCTTGCCCGCCTCTACCACCTCCGCTGGCAACGCGTTCCAGGCACCCACCACCCTCTGCGTAAAGAACGTTCCATGCATATCTCCCTTAAACTTTTCCCCTCTCACCTTGAAATCGTGACCCCTAGTAATTGAGTCCCCCTCTCTGGGAAAAAGCTTCTTGCTATCCACCCTGTCTGTACCTCTCATGATTTTGTAGACCTCAATCAGGTCCCCCCTCAACATCTGTCTTTCTAATGTAAATAATCCTAATCTACTCAATCTCTCTTCATAGCTAGCACCCTCCATACCAGGCAACATCCTGGTGAACCTCCTCTGCACCCTCTCCAAAGCATCCACATCCTTTTGGTAATGTGGCGACCAGAACTATACGCAGTATTCCAAATGTGGTTGAACCAAAGTCCTATACAACTGTAACATGACCTGCCAACTCTTGTACTCAATAGCCCGTCCAATGAATGAAAGCATGCCGTATGCCTTCTTGACCACTCTATCCACCTGTGTTGCCACCTTCAGGATACAATGGACCTGAACACCCAGATCTCTCTGTGCATCAATTTTTCCCAGGGCTTTTCCATTTACCATATAGTTTGCTCTTGAATCGGATCTTCCAAAATGCATCACCTCGCATTTGCCTGGATTGAACTTCATCTGTCATTTCCCCACCCAAATCTCCAATCTATCTATATTCTGCTGCATTCTCCAACAGTCCCCTTCACTATCTGATACTCCACCAATCTTAGTGTCATCTGCAAACTTGCTAATCAGACCATCTATACCTTCCTCCAGATCATTTATGTATATCACAAACATTGTCAGTCAGAGACCTGTCTGCACTCAAGTCCATAGGGATAGTGTCAGTCAGGGAGCTATCCACAGTTAAGTGCACAGGGACAGTATCATTCAGGGAACTGTCCAAACTCAATCTATAGTGGATATCTTCAGTGAGAGAGCTGTCTGCACTCACATCCATAGAGATAATGCCAGTCAGAGAGCTGTCTGCGTACAAGACCATAGGGATAGTGTCAGCCAGCGAACTGTTCTGCACCCAAGTCCATAGGGATAGTGTCAGTCAGGGAGCTGTCTGCACTCAGGTCCATAGGGATAGTGTCAGTCAGGGAGCTGTCTGCACTCAGGTCCATAGGGATAGTGTCTGTCAGGGAGCTGTCTGCACTCAGGTCCATAGGGATAGTGTCAGTCAGGGAGCTGGCTGCACTCAGGTCCATAGGGATAGTGTCAGTCAGGGAGCTGGCTGCACTCAGGTCCATAGGGATAGTGTCAGTCAGGGAGCTGTCTGCACTCAGGTCCATAGGGATAGTGTCAGTCAGGGAGCTGTCTGCACTCAGGTCCATAGGGATAGTGTCAGTCAGGGAACTGTCTGCACTCAGGTCCATAGGGATAGTGTCAGTCAGGGAGATGTCTGCACTCAGGTCCATAGGGATAGTGTCACTCAGGGAGCTGTCTGCACTCAAGAGCAGAGGGGAGATTGTTAGTCAGCAGGTCCAGCACAGTCACTGCACATCCTCCCAGACTAGTTTAGGCCACCCTCAGTCATCCTGTCACTGTACCTGCAGGAATGGGTGATGGTCATTCATAGCACCACTACGTTGCAGATACAGTCTATTCGCCCTTTTCGAGTCTGCACAGAACCTCTGAAGCGCATCCCACCCAGAGCAACTCCCCCACTCAATCAGAGATAGTAATTTCTGAAGAAATGTCCCGACTCAAAACGTCAGCGTACCAGGCCGTGGGAGTGTGGTATAGAGTGTACCAGGCTGTGGGAGTGTGGTATAGAGTGTACCAGGCTGTGGGAGTGTGGTATAGAGAGTACCAGGCTGTGGGAGTGTGGTATAGAGTGTCCCAGGCTGTGGGAGTGTGATATAGAGTGTCCCAGGCTGTGGGACTGTGGTATAGAGTGTACCAGGCTGTGGGAATGTGGTACAGAGTGTACGAGGCTGTGGGAATGTGGTGTGGAGTGTACCAGGCTATGGGAGTGTGGCATAGAGAGTACCAGGCTGTGGGAGTGTGGTATAGAGTGTACCAGGCT